TGAATTTTAAAGCATGTGTAGCAACTAATCCATGCGAGTTGAGACTAAACCACCTTTGCTACATCATGCAGAACACATTAGGCTATCGAAAAGAGATTACACGTGACACCATTTTCTAACTAATTTTCTCAGAATGAATCCCCAAACATAGCCTTGCATTCTGTTTTTCAGACTTAGGAAATTGATTGTCTTGGCTGATGTTTGTTTCAAATTCGATTTCCAAGCTATTAGAAATATTAGCTAGCGTTATTATGTTGTTAAAACAAAAGTTGCACTATCTTCTATAAAGTGTGTACTTCAAACTTTCTTAAGGTGTCACATATATGTTCTATAACATTTTTGCTTAATAAAAATTAGTTTTAGACCCTACTTGATATACATGAGCTATTGCATCAACATTGATTTAACATTTTATTGATTATTTTAGGCTACAAGAATTTATCAACACCTTCTATCACATGCATTATTACACAAGCACGATGCTCGTGACATGATTTAGTAGTCAATTTAGGGCATAACACTGAGGGTGTTTCAACTGTTGACTGGTTTGCGAATTGCCATATCCTTGGGAATCCGAAGGCTACTTGTGAAAGGGGATTTAGAAGTAGTTGCCCAACAAACATCTAAAGGACATCGAGCAACGAACGAGAACATGGCCTCATATTTACAGGCATATCGACGGTTAGAGTCAAAATTTGACAGACTTGAAGTCCAGTACATTCCACGAAAATATAATATCGATGCCGACTCTTTAGCCAGTTGGGCAGCTTGATGACAGCACCTACCAGGAGACGTCCTAGTCGAAGTGCTTGAAAAAACCTCTATCCTGATCTCAAAATTGGGTCCAAACCCCACGCTTGATCCATCAAGAGACGAGGCAATACTCAGTGAATTCCTCGGGAAGTCTGCGCTGGGCGATCCGGCTCGTGTAGCCGCTCTACTTGGAAATAGGGAGAACTAGATGGATCCAATCTAGGCGTACCTCACAAAGTAGGATACTCTGGTCGATGGTGCAAATATGGAACGAACCAGCCGTAAAGCCATGCTCTATACAATGGTTGACGGTATCCTCTATAAACGGGGCCGTAATGGGGTTCTTCTCAAATGCTTCACATAGACCGAGGGCATTAGTTTGCTCCATGACATTCATGGAGGAATCTGTGGATCCCATATCTCTCATCAAGCATTGGTAGGTAAAACTGTTCGAAAAGGATTTTACTGACCAACAGCTCTTCAAGATGCCACCGAACTGGTCAACACCTATGAATCATGTCATTTTTTCACAAAATAGATACACCAGCCGGCCCAAGCATTGAATACAATTCCACTATCATGGCCTTTCGTCACATGGGGTATCAACATACTAGGACCATTTCCAAAGGCTCGAGGAGGATACAAGTTCCTGATCATTGCCATCGATACTTTTACTAAATGGGTCAAGGCAGAGCCGGTCGGACGTATCACCAAGGAAAACACAGTCAAATTCTTGCATGGCATAGTAATCCATTTTGGCATACCCAACCAACTAATATCGGACAATGCCACACAACTTATAAGCAAGAAGTTTGAAAATTTCTGTGCCACCTACAGGATAAAACATCCTCGGTCCTCAGTAAACCACCCGATGACCAACGGAAATGCCAAACGAGCAAATGGTATCATATTGCAAGGGACTAAGACCCGAATTTTTGACAGGCTTAAAGCCTATGACAAAAAGTGGGCACAAGAAGCCCCGATGGTATTATGGTCAATGCGCACGACATCCAGCCGCGCTACGGGTGAAACCCCATTCTTGCTTGTGTACGGTGCCGAAGCAGTACTCCCACCAGATATACGACTTAAGTCACCACGAGTATTGATGTTTTCCAAAGAAGAAGCGTCTGAGCATCACAATCTTGACCTAATGCTACTCGAGGAAGAGCATGATAGAACTGCTTACCGAGTACAGCAATATCAGCAATCCCTTCGGAAATATCACAATCGCTGTGTGTGCAGTCGGGCTTTAAGAATCGGGGATTTAGTACTAAAAAAGGACCAATGTACAAAGGACAAAACCAAACTGTCTTCTCCTTGGCAGGGACCATACATCATAGTCGAGATCGCTCGCCCGAGGGCTCACAGGTTGGCTGAAATTAACGATGATATACTCCCCAATACGTGGAATATGGATCAACTACGGCGTTTCTACGCCTAAAGATAAGTTTTTCTTCTGTTTTGTGCTATTCAGTCAACATTTCCTCCACATTTATGGTTTAATATCTTGTCCCTTCGTAATCCACATGCTCGGGGGCTGGAGCCTGCTGGTAGCGTCGTGCAACCCCGTTGAAAACTCAGCCAAAGGCTCAAGGGCTACCCTGATTGTTTGTTCGACAGACGCCCAAGCAGATCATTGCTCTCTATCTAGAATTTTGCCCGAATATTCACATCGAGAGCAACCAAGCTATCAAAATTTACCCACTAAGTCTTTACTCTTCATCTGAATTCCAATTCAGACAAAGAGTCAGGGGCTACCATATACATATTCTTTAGTATAAAATTTTGTCGATCATGCAAAGCTAAAATGCCCGAGTTCATATAAATGTGGGGAGATACACAAACCCACGGCTTATGTGTGAAGGAAAAAACAGCGACATATTTGGTTAACAAACGAGAATTTGCTAAAGTTCGATCAGCTCGGGATGAGCAGATCAACTCGTTAACCATTAATAATTCAACGACATAAGTCATTATCAGCCTATTACTATGCAGACAATGTGCAAACATTAGAATGCAAAAATGGACTGATAAAAGAGTTTTTCTTTACTGATAAACTTCGCTGAAATGTGAATGTACAAAAGAGGTATCCTAAATACCCTAATTAACTACCCTTAGACCGATCACCAAGTCGGGCCACAACGAATCCTGATCCACAAAGATGACGAGGTCCTTGCGGTACAGGGATAGAATGGCACGATCCAGGTGACCGTCGCCAAGCTCAGGCACTTGGTGGAGGACTAGGAGGCACGACGGCTTGCTCCGGTGGCCCATCGTGCACCACGGCGCCCTCCTCTTCGTCGTCGCCAAGAATGACTTCCTTCGCCACTTCACCAGCACCTGCAGCTGCGGTGTCTTCATCATTGCTAACCAAGTCCACCAGGGCCCCATCATCAGGGATTCCGAGGGCTTCCTGGTTCAGCTCGACGAAGAGTTTCTAGGCAAGCTCCCCGTCGCCGAGGATCTCTTCCCAGTTCAGATCAGCAGAGAGCTGGCGGGCAAACTCCCAGTCACCGCTTGTATCAGGTACGGCAGTGCCCTGCTTTGAAGTTCCAACAAAGACTATTAACGGGCCGTGCCTGCAGATCTATGATAGGTATATATCACTACCTGGAACAGTAATAAGACACTGTTACTATACATACAAGTTACAAGGAAAGGTTGATAGGTTAACAAGAACTCACATGTACACATAATCAATAATGGAAGGTAGATACTAGATATGTTGATTCTTGTGCTCCTTGTGACACCACAGTCCACACGGCATGCATAAGTGCATAACACTGCAGATTCAAAACTATCGGTACATTGTACCAAAGTAAATTCACACAAACATACACACACAGCAGCACGCAGAGTCGTCGCTACTCTGTTATGTGACAACTAGAGCTTAGTAGCTAGATGTTTATCAGTCTTCAGAAAAAACTCGCACCAAACCTCTACCAGCATGCCTTCTCAGTGCCCAAAACTACAAACAAAAAAGACCCACTCCGGCAACAGATGTAAAGAGAAGTAGATAACCTGAGCTAATTAACACAACGTGCAGTACTGCTGTCTTCACTATTTAAGCAGCACTGCATGATGTGTGGCTGAGCATCGATCGTTGCCCAAATTAAGGCCAAATAATCAAGCACAGCAGCCTCACGCGCACACAGAGAAAAGAAAAGCATGCACATGGAGAAGGCTCTGGCCCTAGTTCTACTGGTGTCAGCTGGCCTGCTCCTGAGCGGGCACCAGCCGGCAAGCTCTCAGGTGTTCTGTCGGTCGCAGTTCAACCTGGCCAACGAGGCGTGCAGCATGCGGAATTTCATCCCGGGCCCCGGGGTGAGGCGCGGGGCCCTGCCGCGGCAGCAGCAGCTCAATGAGACGACGACGACGTCGACGTCGTCCACGGCCGCCGCCACCGTCGCCAGCGGCGTCAGCCAGCAGGGGCTGCAGTCCCGGAGGGGCGACGATGATGACGACGACGACAGCCACGGCGGCGGGAGGCGGTCCCGGCACCGGCACCAGCACCGGCACAGCGAGGAGGGGGAGGGGTCGGACCCGCGCGACACCGCGTGCTGCCGCAGGCTCATGGGCCTCGACAACTCGTGCGCCTGCCAGGCCACCGCGCGCCTCCCGCCCTTCATGAACTCCGTCAGGCACGTCGTCACGCTCACGCCCGTCGACGGCTGCGAGATCTCCTTCGAGTGCCCTGGCCCGCTCTTCTAAGCCCAGAAGACATCGCCGGCCGCCGTCGTGTCTCGATCGCCTCATCTAATGGATCGATGGATTATGGTTAATAACTTAGCATATATCAATTGTAGTTATAATATGTTTCCTATTAATCATCAGATATAATACTTGTGATATTGTGAATTCATAGTAAAGCCAAACAGAATAAATGAGATTTGCATGCAGGACTCTCTTGTGATCAAAATTTAGATTACATGTTATTCCATAAACATTACAGTTGTACGCAAAGATTAGTTAGAAATTGAAGTCATCATTTTCTCATCAGAAAGAAAAAAAAAAGGAAATATTGGATACCAAATCCTAACAGATACTAGCGATTAGTTGGGCGTAAAACTTGCAAATACATTGACTTTCTACTCACGGAAAATCTTGCGATGGCATTGCGAAAATTACTGAGAAGGTTTATTGCCATTGAATTTCTACAGATCGATCGAAATAATTACGAATTGTACTGAAAACATTTACACTTACTTGTCATCTTGTTGTTGATGCATGCATGCATATACCGTTCGTCACAAGAAACCATCAAACAGCGACAAATCAGCAGGATCAAAGTCCATGCTTCCATCCGAGAACGGCAATGGCAGGTGTCCAAGATCAGCTAACCCTACAAGATCATCGTCGGCGGGCTCGTCCGCCCAGAACGAATGAACACTCGGCAGCGCATCATCAGTATGCGGTTCCGCATTCTCGAACCCTGTCGGTGGCGCTGGCACCAGCCGCGGCGGCGGCGGCGGCGACGCCGACGTGGAGGACGAGACGCATGGCGCACTCGCAGGCGCAGGCGCGGACGGCAACGGCGGCAGCGTTATCCCAGTCGCCGCCAAAGCCTGTACAATCTGTCGCTTCTCAGTATCAGGCGGTGGATGTGGATGTCGTTGTCGATGTGGATGTGATGCTCTCTGTGAAGGCCAGCAGCGCGGCCATGGCCGCGGCTCCAACGCCGGCAGCGGCAGCGGCAGGCCACACCGCCGCAACGGGACAAACTGTTTCTCGAAATCGTCGTACGCGGCCTTGGCCTCCTCCTCGGTGGCGAACGTGCCGATCCAATGCCGGGCCTTGTGTCTGTGGCTCCGAAACTCCGCTGCCCACCGACCAGGCTGCCGCTCGTACACGCCGCGGCACCGCTTCATCACGGGGGCCGAACTGACGACGGCGCGCTCCCGGCAGCTCGCCGACGACGATCGGATTGCTTGCCTTTGTTGCGAACCACAGCCACCAGGGTTCTTCCTGGCGCTGCTGCTGCTACTGCAATGCAAGATTACAATCTTTGTCTTGCGGCCACAGGAAGCGGAACTCGCATCCTCGCCGGAGTCTGAATCGGTTGCATCAGGATCGGAGAAGGAGATCCGGATCCTCCTCCTCCGAACTTCCATGCCTCCAACTCCAATCCTGCTAAATTTCCTCGTAGAAGAGAAGACGTCTACGACCGAAAAGGCGGAGGGATCGGGCCGGAGGCGGCTCCGCGGCAAACAGGAGGGAGTGGCGCATCGGATGGCCAGCCCAATTAAACTCGCCGCGTAATGTTTCTTCTATTGGGCCGGGTGCGTTTTGTCCAACAGGTGAGTCACAACGCAAGCACCATCCTCCGTACGTTTATATATATATATATATATATATATATATATATATATATATATATATATATATATATATATATATATCGTTTCCTGGATATATCCGTCCGATATATATATATTCTAATATATACTCGTTCATCTGCTCAACTCCTATCTCAACTCCACTCGCGATCCAAATCGTTTCCTGGATCGGTAATGGCTGGAAACGTCCGTCCGACCGCCCAGATCCTCCGTTGGTGGGCCGCGTGACGCCAGCTGAAGACCTCCCGCTCATTATTTTCTAAATAAAAAAATTCACTCGTTCACATACTCGTTCATATCTGCTCACTTGCTCCTAGTTGTACACGTATGTTGCAAGTGTCTATCCCCGATGTTTTATCTGTTTTTTTTTGTACACGTATATTACAAGTGTTTCACACGAATGTCTCAAAGTGTTTCATGTCTTCTTTTGTATGTTGCAAGTGTTGCATCTGGATATTTCAAAAGTAGGTCGGGATGTTGCGCATATGGCAATGATATTTATGGATGAAAACGGTACGGATATTTATTCGATCGTCCGCTCGACCCGAACAAATATGAACACTTATTTGGATAGTTACTTTCGGATCCGGTTTTTTTTCGGATCTGGATACTAAAACGGATATCTTAGGCGGATATCAAATACGGATCATGTGGATATCGCTAATCCGGGGTGTATCGTGCAGGATATTTAAAAACGGATATTATCCTCACGTTTATTCAAAATTTAAAAATCACAAATTTGAACCATCCAAACTATCTCAAATGGAAAGTTGACCAAAACAACAATTGTAGATCTTGATGAGTCAAACTTGCAAAACTTTTCAATTTGAAGTCGCATAATACTAGAGTCATGTGGTTTTTTCATTTGACTTTGACTTGGTCAAACTTGCTCAAATGAGACACTAAATGACCTCAGATGAAAAACTCTGAATACCAAGTTTGATCATCTCAGCAAGATCTACAATTGTTACATAGCTCATTTTCCCATTTGATAAAGTTTTATCAAACACTAGTCATAAATTCTTGAATCTCCATATAGACTTTCAAAACTATGTCAGGTGACATTACTGTTCAAACTTTCTCAAATGAAAAACATGTTGCAATGAGATATGTTTCAAGTGTTTAGGATGTTTTGTATCGCGAAATTTAAAAATCACAAATTTGGATGTTGGAAAGTTGTTACATGTGGATGTTGATGAGTTGAAAAAATAGATCGGAAGTCATATTATATATGTTGCAATACCAAATTTGTTGTCAAACTTACTCATGATACACTGACCTCAGATGAAAAAAACTGTCTTTGATCCTCAGCAAGATGTTTTACATATCTCATTTTTTAGTCACGTTCTATTACAAGTGTTTCTATGTCACACACTTGAATGTCTCAAAAAATGTTTCTTGATGTCTTCTTTTTTCAATTTGAGACAATCTAGGGTTGCAAACTGTTGTAAGCATCTTTAAAAATCACAAATTTGATATTTCAAAAAAGTAGGTAGATCTTGATGAGTTGAACAAACTTGGTATTCAAAATTTTCAATTTGAAGTCATTTAGAGTTCATAATGATATTTCATTTGACCAAATTTGACTTGGTCAAACTTGCTCAAATGGATGTCCCAAAAAAAAAACTGTTTCACCTTTTTTATCATCGATATGTTGCAAAGGTTCCATCTGGATGTTGCAAATGTAGATCTGATGTTTGAATGTTGTAGTGGGACCCACTTCCCATAGTCATTTGCTTGAATCATGACCATGACTCCATGAGACCCATGGCAATGTGCTTGCTATTTCTACTCATGCATTGGTGCTTATATGATGTTTGATGTAAGCGGTTGCTTTACTCTTTAGTCTTTCGGCTTAATCTAGATAGATTATGGACTCATAGAGTGGTGTAATGGTTTATGCGATGATGAGATCGAGTATATATATATATATATATATATATATATATATATATATATATATATATATATATATATGCCGCTTTTACTCAATATCGAGCCATGCATACCGTATTCGAACTCATTATTCGCGGAGAGTCAATCCAGCGTGTATCCCCCGCTATCCGTGTCCGAATCCGAATCGAATAGCAAATATAATATGAGGATATCGTTAATCGTCCGACACTAACACCAATTAGACATCCCAAATGTTTCACCTGACGCTAGCAAATTCCACGTTCCTATATGGTGTTGTAGTGGGACCCACTTCCCATAGTCATTTGCTTGCGAGGGCCGCCATCTTTGGGGATGGAGGATGGCGACTGGCCGGGCCGAGGGCATCACCATTGGCACATTTTGGCCCCGTTCGCTTGAAAGAATCTGGAGGAATTTGTGAGAGGAAATCAGCCGTGAACAATAAATTTCAGCCATGAATAGTTTTTTTCCCACCAGACGAACAAGGCCTTGAAGGGATCTGTCGAGTGCTTGTGCAAGAGGCCAAGTGGATCCATCGCATCTACGCCTGCATCCTTCATGTCGTCTCCTCGTCGGATCCAAACAAGCTCAATCGGATTCGGCCAATGATGTTGAGCAGGCGCAGATTATACATACATGCCCTAATAATGTGTTTATATGAGCTTATTGAAAATCCAAAACTTTATCGGGATTCTAATTTGGCTAGGCGGATTAGATGGGCATATATCTCTACGCTCTTGAAGACAGCTGACAGCATAGTATATTGTCTGCGAGTTGTACATGTCTTAATGTTTATGAGCTTACTTTTTTTCTCAATCGGATCTTTTACCCGTTTTTCATTAAAAGGAAAGACCATAAGAAAGACTGGAATACGGATACAAATGACTCTCAAGTAATCCTAGGATTACCGATGAAATCCCAAAGACACAAATGAACAGTAAGAATACACGAGGAGGGAAACCTCCACCTCAATAGACCAACTGACTATGCCTGCCAAGAAAAATACATCCGCGCAATGCTCGCCAACAGAGGGTGGGTGAAGCCGTGGTGGCAAAGCATCCACCGGTAGAAAAAGCACAGCATCCATCCGCAAGCGACCAGGTAGCCGCTGCGGAGAGCACAACATCCATCCACAAAGCGACTAGGTAGCCGCTGCGAAGGAGAAGACGACAATGTCCGCCAATGACCAGGTAGCCACTACGAAGAAGAAGGCGACCGTATCCGTCAGCGACTAGGTAGCCACTGCAAAAAAGGACAAGTATCCGCCATCGACCAGGTAGCCGCTACAAAGAAGGCGATGTATCCGCCAGCGACTAGGTAGCCGCTGCTAAGAAATACACGACTGCGGCAACACCAACACCCGAGGTAGACATACCAAAGCGAAGATGAGCTTGAAGGACACAGAGGCATAGCAGATGACGAAGCGGCTCCGGCAAGAGTAGCGTAAGGCGTGCTGCAGAAGTGCACCAGCGATGCCTTTAGGAAGAATATTGACATCCACGGACGCCAACATCGCAGGAGAAGCACTCGAGTAGGTCTTTCAACCCTAACCTACCCCGGAACACCAAAATCATCGACGACTCCTTCAGGAAGGTAAATGGCGCAGGTTGTGTCACCGCCGTTGGCCTGGTTCCCCGGAGGAACCGGGCGGGTTTACACCCTAACTCTGTACATCCACAAGAGCAGGCCCCATGGCACCCACAATGGCGGCACCACACCATCAGAATGGGCACCAAGGCACAGCCGCCGGCCGAAGCTCTGACCGGCCAGATCTGGCCGCTGGCCCTTGCCCTGCCACGGTCCCGCCTGGAGAAGCAGGGGCAAGCCGGGGACGTGGCGAGGACACCCACCGACAACTGACTCGCCTGTCGGCCGCCAAATCAGCGAGTTCGGCAGCGTCGCCGCATCCTCTAGGCCTAGTAGCGTTCGGGACCAGGGGTGCGCCGTGGTACAGCAGCCGGCCATCAACGACGTTGCGTCGTCGGCCAGCACGCACGCCGGTGGCCACGGCCTTTCACCCGCCGCGTGCCGGATCCGTGGCATCGTCGCCAGATCCGTGGCCAGCGGGCCCGGATCTGGAGCATCCAGCCCGCCGCGACCGTCCTTGCTGTCGAAAAGCTGCTGGCCGCCGCCAACCCTGGCCCTAGGCGCGACGAGTCAGGAGCACGCTCCAGAAGGTGTAGCCGCCAGATCCGGCCCTTGGGAGCCAAGATCATGCCAGCCGCCCGTGCTACCTCGCCGGAGAAGGGGGGGTGAGATGGGGAGGTGGAGGAGTGAGGGGGAGGGAGGGAGGGGGGAGGAGGAGGGGCAGCGGACGGCCCCTTTTTTCGGGTCGCCAGCCACCACCGCCGCCACGCCGGGGGCGGCGACGGCGGCGGGGGGGGGAAAGGCGGGAGGGGCAGCGCTAGTGTGGTCGCCCCAGTCGCCTCGCTCGGGGAGACGACGCGGGGGGAGACGGGTTGGCAAAACCTAAAGTGTTTATGAGCTTACGTAATGAATATCCAAAACTTTAGCACGATTCTAATTTGTGGAGGCAGATTTTTGGACATATATCTGTATGCTCTGTAAGGCAGCATTTACTCTTCATCTTGTTCCGTGCATTATTTGTCACATGTAAAGTTTCAATAGGACACCGTAGTAATGTGTTTACGAGCTCAATGAATATCCAACACTTTCAAAAGAGAAAAAAAAGCTTAATGAAAATCCAAAACTTCATAAGAGCTTAATGAATAGTATTAGTTGAACGCATATCCTTTTTAGCTAAAAAAAAAGAGGTTCCTACCATGGCGACACAAAATGAAAACAACTGGAATCAGCAAAGTATAATAAAGAAAATGTCGTCCTACAACCACACATATGTCATTGTCTCCATGTACCTTGTCGCAGGAAATCTCGGTCCGATCAACTACCCTTTGGCAATGTGGTAATGAGCGTCACTTTGTTACTTTCCCGTGGCCACCACACAAGGTCTGAAACCCTCGCCCTCGCATCAATGCGAACATTGCGTGGTCTTGGCCTCCACAGCATGGCAAGGCTCAGCTTTGAATGTGCACTATATCAGACGCGGAAGTAAAGGTTTTGGGGTGCAGGAAAAGATGTGGAGAGGGATGATGTTAGCGCCACGATGCATGGGGAGTGTATGAAAAGAGAGGATACGATGTGGGTGTGAAGTGAATAAATTTTGTTTTAACAGGAAACATGTACGATGTGGGTGCGCGGCTCGCCGGGGTCCCGAAGCCGTGGATGGGCTGCAGCGGAGGGAGCCACGGCTCCCCTGGCAGCGCACAGCAGTGGATGTCACACTGCCCTCCAAGACGAAGCCGAAGCCGCCCGTATCGGAAGAGGTAGCGGCTGCGAGAGAGATGGTGTGGGGTTGGAGGCTGATACCGAGGAACGCGCAGCGCACGATGAAGTCCATCAGCTGGCTGGGGTTGGAGAAGAAGCGGCCAGAGTGCGAGGTGGCGAGCGCCGCCATCGAGCAGGGCACGCATGCCGCTGCTAGGGCGAGGCACGTACGGGTGCCCCCGCCGCCACCACCAAGCCGGGCAAGGACACCGGCACCGCAGCTGAGCCAGGCGCGGGCTGCCGAGCAGTCGTGAGGGGCGCCGTCGGGGGGCACGGGCCATCGGATAGGTCGGCACCGCTGGGGTAGGTGGGGTCGCTGGGGCGCGGTCGTGCGCGGCCACCGGAGCACCGGCGCGACCGCCGGGGTGAGTGCGAGCGCGGCCTTCGGGGCGTGCACGAGCACGACTGCCAAGGTGCGTGCTACCTGGGTCAGCACTGCTATCATCGCGTGAGGAAGAAGGGCCGGCGCACGATCATGGAGAAGGGTCACGTGGAGAAGAAAACGGAGAAAAGGGCATTCTAGTCATTGATTATTTTGTTCCATCAAGTGAAGCTATTTTGGCAAACCGGATAAAAATAGCTCAACTTCACTTAAAAAAAGCTGCTTGTGAAATTATATTTAAAAAAAACAACTTCACTAGTGAAGTTGAGCTATGCCAAACGAGGCATAAGCTACAATAACCACCCACTGGATACATTGTGTATGCTCTTTTCTAGAGCGAGAGAGTCAATTAAGCTGTTGATTTCATTATTTGTAGCGAGTTGAAAACTCAACCATAACTCGTGGGTTCAAAATGCACCTTTTCATTTTTTTTCTTCTATGTAAGCCAAATGCCCATTCGGGGGACTTCTCTCATGCTTCTGGGGAAAATTCTGCACTGTAGTAAAGAGCCGCTTTTATGTCTCTTCTAGAATTGAATTAGGGCAGTCCCAATGAAAGAAACTGATGCGGTTTCCATAGCACAAGAAATCATCTATAGAAACTACCTTCTACAGTGGAGGTGTCCTTGTATAATAATTATTTTCTCTTTCTCTCTCCCAACTCTATCTTCTTCCTCCAATGGAAGTGTGGCACGAGCCCCCTGGAAACTGGTGGTTTATCCCCAATAGCGATTTCATGGTTTATTGATGCATTGGGTCAAGAGAAGACCTAATTTCTTCATGAGAAAACCATTTCTTGTATTTTTGCTCTCTTTCTTCATTAATTACGTTGCCATGTCAACATTTTATCTATGTGGTAAGTCATTTAATGAGGATAGAAACCATCATCAATATACCATTAGGACTACCCTTAGAAGCCGGTAAAGCTAATATTTCTATCTTCACTGGCTCTAGCTCCTCCGACCCTAAGAAGCTATGCCAAACAGACCTCACCGACCTCGAGCATGGCTTTTAATTTGCGCAATCAGGGGCTGGTATAACTAGCTTACTAGCTAGCGCCCATCAGATCACAGAGTCTTAAAAAAGCGAGATCATGGCTATGTGGCTGCTCATCTTGGCCTATACTAGTAGGTAAGTAGGAACTTTTACTTTGTGCGCTGGACAAGAGACAACTGATAAAGTATTAACTGCAGTGTGCATTGAGACTTGAGAGAGAGAGATATCATATCATAAGCTGCTAGCTGTTTGGTCATGGCAGCCGCCATGCTTCCCTGCACGAGGCAGCCTTACGTGCAACCCTCCCACACAACCATGCATCCTAGGCTTCTCATGGCTGCTCGCCTCGGGGACACACAGCGGCTGAAGAATCTCCTGGATGCTGGAGGAAGCGATAGCGTTGGGGCACATGCACATCCCGGTTTGGTTGTCCGAGTTGAGGGCTCATCGTCATCGTCAGGACCTTCAGCAGCAACGACGCCCCTTACCACCTGCAGCTCCAGCTGCTCCCTGCTCCACGTAGTAGCAGCGTGTGGCGATGGCGATGAGTTCTTGGAGTCAGCAAAGGTGATCCACGACAGGGCCAGACACCTCCTGGGCATTCCCGACAGGAACGGTGACACGCCGCTGCACCTCGCCGCTAGGGCTGGGAATACCAGGATGGTGTCTCACCTGATTCATCTGGCCAAAACCACCGACGACGAGGGCGAGGGACACGGCGCCGACGAGAGCTCGAGGTTAGTGAAGGAGCTGTTGCGCGCCGAGAACAGGCTCGGCGAGACAGCTCTGCACGATGCGGTCCGCGTGGGGAGCCGGGGCATGGTCATCCGGCTAATGGAGGAGGATCCTGAGTTGGCCAGCTTCCCAAGGGAAGGAGGTGCATCGCCGCTGTACCTCGCCGTCGTGATGGAGGAGGTCGCTATTGCGCGGTCACTGCATGACATGAGTCATGGCAGCCTTTCGTATGCTGGACCAAATGGGCAAAATGCTTTACATGCTGCAGTTCTCCGAGGCAAAGGTACCCACCCTATCTTGATCTTTTAGTGTGTGTAACCATAACCATGCATGGTTCCTTCTAACTTCACTAAGTTGAAAGATGCATGCATTCTTCCCATTTAAACTGTATTTTTATGTTCATATCCTAATCGTTCAGTCTTTTAGTTGTGAGTTTCAAATTCCTGTAGTCGAGAAAGCTTCGTCGCTACTTTGGAAATGTTAATGATCAAATAATGGCCACCACAAAAGTTAGAAATTTTAAGCTAATTAATAAAGTTTTGAAGATGGGCAATTTAAGTTTTGCATTTGATAGCCCAGCTTTTCAGGTTGAACTTAACGGGAAGTGTTAACTAATTAGTTGAGGGGAATCATGCATGTACCAAATTTCACTGTGCTTGATTTTTCCTTATAGATAGAGACTAATCTTATGGACTGGACATTTTTGTAAGAGTTTAAATCTCAGGTCGAACTTTTAGAATTGTGGGGCGTTGTTCTCGTACCATGAAATTAAATCCTCCATGGCATCTCAAGCTAACCCCTTCTGCACCTGCAGAGCCCATGCCCTTGCAGGCTGGCATGATGCCCAAGGAGTTTGATCAAATATCAAGATTATCTGTACTATGTTTTCCGATGATGGATTGGGGGGCGGCGTACGTAAACCTTTTTAGGCATCGTCCGGTTCTCAGAGCACCATGCCCCTGGAACGATTTCTACTAGGAATGCTTGGCTAATTTATATAAACTATGGTCAGCTAGAATGATTCCTAGGTGTAATCCTCTTCAACCTAACAAGCCCTTAACGATAACTATGTATGGCATCGTCTCATCAAAATTAATTGTATCACCAGATGAGATCTGTTATGTTACAAGCTCTTGTGCAAAGGTAGCTAGGAGTACAAGATAAAAAAGAAGTAAATGTGAAATACTGTTGAAATTAAAGCGAAAAATTAACAAAGTAAATGGCATCTCATCATAACATGTTCTATATAGTACCAAGCAATAAGGGTCGTCCATTTGCATGGTGGCAGTAATAACAGCTATGCTACTGGGTTGGAACGAGGTCCTTACCGAAGAAGGGGACCATGATGGCTGCACGCCTCTTCATTTCGCCACATCGCAACAACCAGAAGAAGGAAGAAGCTTGCTGTGCAGGATCTCACAGCACTCCAACAAGTTCCCCTGGATTCGCTTTACGACGACGACATCGACGGCCGCCGCTGACATCCCGCTCTTGTTACTGCAAACCAATCCTTGCTCGGCGTACTGCCGTGACGCCGGCGGGGCATTCCCTATCCATGTCGCCGCTGCAGTTGGCGCGCACAAGGCGGTCTCCACTCTCCTTGGCATGTTTCCGGACAGTGCAGGCCTGCGCGACGCCGACGGGAGGACTTTCCTCCACGTTGCAGTGGAGAAGAAGAGACACAGCGTAGTTAAGCATGCATGCCGGGCGCCATCGTTGGCGTGGATTCTCAACATGCAAGACAAGGACGGGAACACTGCGCTGCACCGCGCTGTGAAGGCTGCGGATACCGACACGTTCTTCCTCCTGTTCGGGAACCGGCAGGTGCGGATGGATTTGGCAAACAACGATGGGCAGACTTGTCGAGACCTGTCACTCATTGACATCCCTCCAGGGTTGTCGTATAAATGGGTATGTTAGTTATTATTAGTTACTCCCATGTATAATGAAGTAGATATAAAGCATGCATTTGGTAATTAACCAAAACTAAAATCTCTTTATGCATGCAGAACCCCAAGCAAATGATCCATCGTGCTTTGACCCGTGCGAGCGCTGCCCATGGCATCCGTCGCTGGGACCAGTTTGAGGAGGAGTACATCCTGCGACCAAGACGAGAGGACGAGGAGAAAGAGTCGGAGAAGCTCAACAACTCGACGCAGACTCTTGGCATCAGCTCCGTGCTCATAGCGACGGTGACGTTCGGCGCCACTTTCGCCCTCCCGGGAGGCTACATCGCCGACGACCATGCCAACGGCGGCGCGCCGACGCTCGCGGGGAGGCACGCCTTCCGGGTGTTCGTCGTGGCCAACGCGCTGGCGTTCATCTGCTCCTCGCTGGGCACCGTCGGCCTCATGTACTCCGGCATCACCACCGTCGATCTCCCGATCCGCCAGAGGCACTTCCTCAGGTCGCTGTTCTTCGTGTCGAGCTCCTTGACTTCCCTCGTCGTTGCCTTCGCTTGGGGCAGCTACACGGTGCTGTCCCCGGTTGCTCACAGCACCGCCGTTGCAATCTGTGTGATAAGCATGGTGGTCATCGTCTACCGAAGCGTAGGGCGTTTCCAGAGGATGTATGCCCTGGCTGCACCGCTATATGTGAGAGCTGGGATCCGGCCACTGCTGATGCTAGCCAAAGACATCTTCACTAGGATGTTAAGGTTGTATTGGCCCTTGATAGTCATATTTACTTGGGCCGCTTGCGCAACAAGCCATGCATAGCACATATATATATATATATATATATATATATATATATATATATATATATATATATATATATATATATATATAGCAGGCAACAATATATATCTTGAAGAGATGTGTGGAAGAAGTGCAATAGCACGCTGATCACTTTCTAAATGAACATCGTTATCTTTTGTTTGACACAAGTGACAAGTTTTACCTGGCTTGCGCCTATAACTTAATATTTAATTTGCTGCTGCATGTCTGTTATAGTCAGATGGATCTCTCGACCATATAATCAGGGTTATGATTTTCTAACTTACAATTTGTATGAATTAAACAGAAAAGATGAAAGCAGACTTTAGGGAATACTAGACAAATGAAACTGAACTATAACACTAATTACGGGAAGATATAAGGAGCGGCATGCCATCAAGTGCAAAAACAGACTGATGTGACAATTTTGTGAGCTTTTTTTTAGAGGATGGCTACTGAGTGATGACTGTTCGGTAATGTGGCAAATACTATAATTTCCCTCCTAGGGATTAAAGGGAATATATAAATTGTTATTTGTATTTGATTTTTTTCCAAGAAATTAAGTCTTGACAAATAATGTCCAGAGCAGAAAATATTGGATTAGACATGGGGAAACAGTTACGAATGCATAAGACAATAATTTGGGGCACCTCAAGCCTTAAGAAGTGGAAACAAGAAGAAAATGACTTTCTGATGTGGAAATTGTGTTTCTCACTATATATTAGCTTATTATCAATAGTAACTAGATGGAAAGGAATAAAAAAACTGCAACTTTGTGGTTACACGGGTAAACCTTCGGCACTTGAAATTTCGAATCTTTAAACAATATTTAAGCTTTCAATTTGCAACTCAAATCTTCTATTATTTTAATTTGGAATCCATTACTCCATTCATTCCAAATTATAAGTCATTTTTATTTTTCATAGATACATTGTCTATGTATCTAAACATACTCTATTTCTAGATATCTAGATACATAGTTAAAACTATATATCTATAAAACCAAAATAACTTATAATATGGAGCAGGTGAAGTACTTATTTTTTTTATTCAAGCCCAATCTACGTACTCACTAAAGTAATTGATTATAGAAACACTAAATAATTTATTCAATATTTTGCTCAAAGCGTGAAACTTGAATATCAAAATATCAAACTTCTAGTTTTACCTCAGCTCATGAACTCAAGACTTCTGTTGAAAAAGAAACAATTATCAACTATTATTACATTAATCCAAATACAATAATAAATAAACTACTGGAAATGGTATTTTTTTCTGTGTCATGTATTTTTTTTTGAAGGGCATAAAAATACTCACAAAGAAATTTTGTTTAACATGTCGGCTCACTTGGTACATAGGAAGATATAAATAACCCTGTAAGTTTTTACGAAACACAGAAAAAATTGGCATACAGGGTAATTAAATTATATCCTTATGTGCTTTCTTTTTTCTGTCGGATTTAGCACACAGGCCAATTAGCATGTTCCTTGCCGCTGAAAAATTATCAGCCGACGCGTTTTGACGCGCAAAAATTTCATTACCACGCTTTTCTAGTTATGCGTGAGACGTCTATAGTGATAAAGTGAGACTTAAATGAAATGGATGGCTGTTCACTTTTGTTTTTCTTATATAAGACTTTTGAGAAATTTACACTCTTTTTTTTTGCCTAAATCAAACACCATATGTTTGCGTAGCTTTTTCTTCACAGAGAAAAAACATGCCACGTGGTAGAAACTGTGGCGTGTAGCCGTGTACTCACTTTTCTGCAAAACTCCACTCGCTGCAACGGCGTGGGTAGTGCATTTGCCACGATATAAACATTACTTCCTTCGTTTTAGATTATAGTTCACTTTAATTTATCATATTTTAACTTTAATCAAATTTATACGAACCATATTAACACTTGCATGCACTATCAATATATATTTTATTTTGATTTAATTGGACTACTTGGTCAAAATTAGATAAATCTGATTTAAAACAAAGTTAAATGAACTATAATTTAGAATGGATGAATTGGTAAACTTTGTAAGGAATTCAATATTTCAAATCATTTTGAAAAGTTAGAGGTTACTACTTCTGTCACTATTTATCTGTCGCTATGGGAAGCATGCTGGTCAAACATTTTTTAAGTTTGGCTGGGTTTGTAAAAAAATATTAGCAACATTTATATCTTTAAATAAGTTTATTATAAAAATAGATCCAATGATACTAATTACGTCTTATAAATATTAGTATTTTCTTGTATACATTTGGTTAAATATAAGTATGTTTGATTTCTTGAAAAACAAGAACGATAGTAAAGGGGACGGAGGGAGTATGCATTTTTAGGGCCCCTTGGTTCGTAGGATTTCTATAGGAAAAAACATAGGAACCAGCAATCCTATTGATAAAAGCACTATAGGGGTCTGGTTCACGAAACTGTGGAAGGAAAACCACAGAAAAATTTCCTATCCTTTAACTTTTGTAGGAAAAATGAAGAAAAAAACATCTAGCGAAACCTCATTGTTTTTGTTTCCTATGCTTTTCCTACACTTTCAATCAAACACCCAGCTTAAACAAAATTCTTATGTTTTTCATTCCTCCTTTTTCTCATGGTTTCCTATTCTATTCCTATAATAATTTTCTATTTCTATGTTTTTTATCGTGCGTTCTAAAGGGGGGTCTTAATTTTTATTTGAAGTGGACTAAAGGGGGTCATTTTTTTTTGAAAAAGACTAAAGGTTTTTTTTAATCAGAAGACTAAAGGGGGTCTCAAGGCTATCTCCAACAACAACACAAAAAATACAAGACCCATTTGTCTTTTGGATAGCGGTATAGGCAAAATGTTTAATATATATTCGGCATTTTCTCCAACAACAAGACCCAAAAGAGAATCCTTTCTGCAAATGGGTTTCCGAGAGAGGATGTCTATATTTGGGTTGTGCCTCTCAGGTAAACTAAAATAGGTCTTTCATATAGTTACTCTATTGAAAGTTAATTTTAGATCTCTTACTATCTATTTTGGATTTGGACGTTCCTGTAGGTTTTTGGTGGAGACGGTCTAATTGTGAGACAAGTCTCTCTCCCAGGCCCTCGAGTGAGGCCCAGAGCGCACCAAAGCCCAATCTGAGAACCAACCGACTAATCCGAGATGCAGAGCCTCCGCCTCCCGATCCGTCTGGATCCGACCTCGAGGCTACGAGGCATGGCCACGCCGCTCGCTCGTGCGGCGCTCCCGCGGGCCCTACCCCTACTTTGCCCAGCTCCCGCCGTCCGGTTGGCCTCGCGCGGCCGTTTCCGTGCCACGGCGGCCAGCGCCGAAGGCGCGGCTAGGCCGGTGCTCCGCACCTGCAAGAACTGCAAGCAGCAGTACGACCCGTCGGTGAACCACCCCTCCGCTTGCCGCTACCACACCGCCCACTTCGGAGGTGAGACAAACATCCACAATCCCAGTAACTCCCGTGGCCTAATGTTCTGAATTGGTTTAGCCGGGGTATCAAAAAAAAATGAACAAACGGTTTAGTTCTTTGGTCGGAAGATTATACCGATTCAGTTAACTTTCTGTTCAACGAGTTTCCAAGGGTGAATATAGGATCAATTTTTTGGTTCAGAAAAGCAAAAAGATTGTCTCACTTGGTGTGCATTGGCAAGCTGTTCTGTACAATTATGTGTGCACACATTTTAAGTTCGAGGTCAGGGTTTTCCAATTTGAATTTGAATAGAAAAACATGTGATTTTGCTTGTAATGTACTATGTCCCAGTTCCAAACTCTCACCCTGTTATTATGACCGGCATCCAGTACTCCAGGCGAAGGCCCAGTAGTGGCTAGAGGAGGCCGGCGGGTTAGGGGGCTCAAGGCCCATATTTATCATATTTTACATAATATTAGAGTTATTTTCTATTATTATTATTCAGAGACATATAAATACCTGTAAACTCTATTGAGGAAGGTAAGCAGAAACAATTATTGTTTTCGGCTTCCTCAGGGAGCCGGGAGAAACCCTAGCCGCCTTCTCTCTTCCATGAACAGTACCGCGGCACTGTAGCGCCGGTACTGTAGCGCCGCCACCCTCTCCCTTCGCGAGATCACGGCGCCCCGCCGTGGTCCATCGCGGTTTAATCCTCGGCCCCCGATCATCCACCGCTACAACCTACGCTCGGTCAGAGGAGGAACCTCGGTTCCTATCAGCTTGGTACCAGAGACCTTGTCGATCATGGACACCCCCGCTGTCTCCTCCGCCGCGCCATCGCCGGCGATCCCGCCGGTGCCGACCGCCTCCACCGCGCCCCCTACTACGGTGGGCGTTCTGGTGGTGCCGCCCTCCCAATCCTTGACGACCACCGTCGCGCCGCGGCAGGTGTTAACGCCCAAGGAGGTGATGACCTCCATCGTCAATCTCAGCCATGGCGTGAAGTAGCTGCAGGACATGATGAAGGCGTTTCTGAGCGGCCAGTACGTGGTTCCACCACCGCAGCCGTCACATCCTCCTCCTCCGCCACGCCGCTGCCCTCATCCGCCTCGATGCCGCAAATCACCTACCCCTACGGGATGCCTCACGGACTCCATCTTTGTCGCCGTCGACTTCCGTTCAGCCGTCGGTGTCCCGTGTCCCGATCCATATGCTTTGCAATTTCCGCGACTCGCCGCCGTCGCCGATTCCGGCTTGGGCCCTTGATCCTCGGCGGCGCACCACTCCATGACCGCGCCATTATACTCCTCGGCGCCGCTCGGTCCACCATCCTCGAGCTCCATCGACGGTCGCCCATGGGGACCCTATCGTGCAGAGGATCTGACGGCGGCGTGGGCGGGCGGCCGCTCCACGACACCGCGCCTACTGTGGCGGCCCTTACGCGGCCGTGCCACCGGGCCGACCAGGAGGGTCCCTACGAGCGCCCTCAGCAGGCCATGGGGGGCGGTCTCGACCGCTTGCCGCCCAAGACGCATCGCCTCGAGTTCGCAACGTACGACGGCACGGAAGACCCCTCAATTGGCTCAACCATCGCGAGCAATTCTTCCGGGCCAACGATGGCGGCCTCCGACGAAACGTGGATTGCGTCATACCACCTCCGGCTCTGGCGCAAACTCGGTACTACGCCCTCGGCGGTGATGAGGGCATGCCTTCTTGGGAGCGCTTCATCGAGCTGTGCCGCCAACGCTTCGGACCGCCAGTTCGCGGTACTCGGCTGGCGGAGTTGGGGCGCTTGCCGTTCCAATCTATGGTCCAGGAGTTCGCCGACCGCTTTCAGGCGGTGTCCTGCCATGCACGTGGCGTCTCAGCCAAACAGAAGGCCGATCTCTTCGTCGGGGGCCTTCCCGAGTACATTCGGTGGATGTGGAGATGCGCGATCCCGGGACATCCAGACGGCCATGTACTTGGCACGGCTTTCGGCGTCGGCGGCGGCGGCCATGCCCACAGCGCGCCACCCCCACGGGTGCCCGCCTCCCACCTCGTCCCGGCCTGCCCCCACGTGCCCCGCCACCAGCAGCGGGGGCTCCAGCTCATCCGGGCGCTGGCCCCACGGGCGGGCAGGGCGCCCCTCCCGTGCGTCAGTTCCGTCGCCTCACGTCGGCCGGAGCGAATAGCTTGAGCGCCGCCGTCAAGGGCTGTGCTTCAACTGCGATGAGCCCTATGTCCGGGGCCATGTGTGCCCCCGGCTGTTTTACCTCGAGTCTACGGACTTCGTCGACGAGGCGGCCGGGGAGGTGCCTGCTGCAGAAGCCGACGCCGCCGCCTTTCCAAACAAGCCGGCCGGCCAAGGTGTGGCCGGTGATGCAGCAGACGCTGCTAACGCCCTTGTCGTTTCTCTCCATGCTGTTGCAGGAATCCGGCCGCCCAACGCCATGCTACTCTCCGTCACCGTCAAAGATGAGAGTTTCCTCGCCCTCCTCGACACCGGCTCCACTCATAATTTTGTCCAAGGGGCTGTGTTGCGCCGTTTGGGCCTGTCTCCAGCTAGGGGTGACCACCTCCGTGTCATGGTCGCCAATGGTGAGCATGTGGCGTGTGAGGGCATTGCTCGGAACGTGCCCGTCCGCATCGGCGACGAGGACTTCACCATCACGTGTGTTGGCCTCAACCTGGGCGCCTTCGACTTCATCATCGGCTTCGACTTCATTCGCACATTGGGCCCCGTGTTGTGGGACTGCGACGCCCTTACCATGGCGTTCTGGAGGGAGGGCCGCGCGTCACTGGCGGCGTGCACGCCCTCGACGCCCTCCCCACAGCAGCCGGTGACCGCGATCACGACTGACCCGCGGCTACCTCTCCTGGATCGCCTGTTGGCGCAGCACGGTGACATCTTCGACGAGCCTACTAGGCTCCTCCGGCGCCTTCTCGACCACCGCATCCACTGCTGCCCGGGGCGGCCCGGTGGCGGTGCGGCGCCGCATCGATACCGTAGCTGCGGAAGGGACGAGCTCGAGCGCCAATGTGCGCCGATGCTTGCCTGCCCCAAGGATCATTCGGCCGAAACACCGCCGTTCTCGTGCCCGTCTGCTGCTGGTGCGCAAGGCGGACAAGTCGTGGCGCTTCAGATCGACTATCGCTCCCTCAACGCCAAGACCTCCAAGGACAAATTCCCAATTACGTGGTTGGCGAGTTCTTGGATGAGCTCCATGGGGCTCGTTTCTTCACCAAGCTTGACCTTCGTTCGGCTATCATCAAAAGCGCATGCACCGGAGGACATCGACAAGACGGCTTTCCGCACCCATCGTGGCCACTTCGAGTTTCTGGTGATGCCATTTGGGCTCTCCATGCCCCGCAACCTTCCAGCGCCGATGAATGACGCCCTTCGCCTTACTGCGGCGGTTTGTCTTTGGTATTTTTGATGATATATTAATTTATAGTCCATCATGGGCCGAGCACTTGCAGCATGTCAACATCGTCCTCCACGCGCTTCGGGTACACCACCTTCACTTGAAACGATCCAAGTGCTCGTTTGGCGCATCGTCAGTGGCCTACCTGGGCCACGTGATCTCCGAGGGCAGCGCCGCCATGGACGCCGACAAGGTCGCCGCCGTGGGCTGCGTGGCTCTGCCGCGCTCTACACCGTAACTGCGTGGTTTCCTCGGCCTCGCGGGCTACTACCGGAAATTCATTCAGACTTGGCATCATCGCCGCCCCCACTCACGCTGCTCTCTTGCGGCGGGGCGCGCGTTTGTGTGGGGCGACGATGCTTCGGGCATTCGAGGCGCTCAAGCGCTTTGACCACCACGGACTGTTCTTCGGATGCCGACTTTACTAAGCCCTTCGTGGTCGATCGCGACGCTGCCGGGCGCGAGGGTTCGGCGCCGTCCTCCACCACGGCGTCGGGCCCTCGCCTACCTACTTCACCGTCCCTTCGCCAGCGTCCCACATCAACTCGCGGCCTATGAGCGGGAGTTGATCGGCTTGGTTCAAAGCCGTTAGCCATTGGCGCCCATATTTGTGGGGGCGCCACTTTTTGGTTCAGACCGACCATTACAGACTTGAAATTTTGCTTGATCAACAATTGTCTACATTCCGCAGAAGATCAATGGATCGACAAGCTATTTGGTTTCGACTTCTCGGTGAGTACCGTCCGGGCCGCTTGAACATCGTGGCAGACGCTCTCTCTCACCGGGACTTGGTAGATGGGGGGGCAGCCGTCCTGGTGGCCGCGGCTGCAGCAGCCCTCCCCGTGTCGGGACCATCCTTCGAGCTTCTGGACGCCATCCGGCGGGCAACAACAACAAGCCGACGCCCGAAGAATCGCCGGCGCAGCTCGGCGGGGGCTCAGGTGGCCCCATGGCGCCTAGCTGACGGCCTTCTGATCCATGGCTCCCGCGTCTACGTGCCGGACCAAGAGGACTTGCGTCAGCAAGTGCTCCTCTTGGCTCACTCAGCTGGCCATGAGGGCACCCAGAAGACGCTACATCGACTCCGTGCAGATTTCTACATCCCTCGTGATCGTGTGTTGGTGCAGGACCTGGTGCGTTCTTGCACCACGTGCCAGCGCAATAAGACGGAGACGGTTCAGCCCGCGGGCTTGCTGCAGCCCCTAGACGTCCCCACCCAAGTGTGGGCGGATATCTTGCTGGACTTCATCGAGGGCTTGCCCAAGGTTGCGGGCAAGTCGGTCATCCTCACGGTGGTGGATCGCTTCTCCAAGTACGCCTACTTCATCGCGCTCGGCCACCCCTACACTGCTACGTCCGTCGCTCGTGCCTTCTTCGACGGCATCGTTCGCCTTCACGGGTTTCCGTTGTCCATTGTCAGGGACCGGGACCCCATGTTCACCGGGCACGTTTGGCGAGACATCTTCAAGATGGCGGGCGTCCAGTTGCGCATGAGCACAACTTTCCATCCGCAAACGGATGGCCAGTCCGAAGTGGTGAACAAGGTCATCGCCATGTACCTCCGTTGTGTGACGGGGGATCGCCCCCGCGCGTGGGTGGATTGGCTGTCGTGGGCGGAGTACTGCTACAACACCTCCTTCCACACGGCTCTTCGCGCCACA